ATTGTAAATAACCCTTTTCTTTGCTAGAAGATTCAATTGATTCTCTCTGTTTAGTTCCTCAATACTTATACCAATTGATTCAATTTTTATAGGTGACGTGTAGAGATTAATTTTGTTATGAGACAATTGGTAATAGATGTATTTACACACAAAAAAAAGTTGTGTAAAAAATTAAAAAAGAAAAGTTCTACAGGTGCTTATCATGATAGGAAGTGGTTGATGTTATCTTCGATTGGCCGTGGGCGTCTTTGGTAAGTCTCTTTTACAGGTGCTTCAGAAGAAGAGTTCTTCTTGTTTTTTATGACTCGTGTGTTTCTTAAGATTTAAGCCTTGTTGCTTATGCTTTTAGTTTAAGGGTTCGTCCTCTTTCGTTTTAGCTTTGAGTTTTTCTGCTTTGTGGTTTTAGTATCTTCTGTTTCCCTTTTATAGGGTTTAGACTCCGGGATTTCTCGTGAATCTGTAGCAAATGCAAGCCATGTATCCGAAGAAAACGAGGTTTGCATAAAACCCGACATGTCTGACCGTGCGTAGTAATAGTAAAATCCAAAACAATCCAAATCCAAAATAATCACTCTTCTTCTTCTGAAGCTCCATAGATAGTAGAGATGCGTCGAGCCAAGAGTGAAGATGTGTGAACGAGGGAGTAGTACATATAGTTTTGGCCATCAATTTAAACATCTAAAGAAGAATTAAGAGATTAAAAAGCATTTCCCTGCGTCGGCCAGCGGTCTCTATCTCTTTCTCCCACCACGTTCTCTCAAAGACAATGTTAGGATTTCTCCTGCTCCGACATTGTAATGCGCAAGCGACATGTTGTCCTTTAAGAACCCAGCTTTTCCACTTATCTTCTGTTTGTTTGCTGGAATTTGTATCTCCCCAGCTATTTTCTCCTTCAAACTTCCCACGTTTTCGGATAATGACTGCACTGTGATCTCAATGACTTGCCCATCATCCACGTTTGGCATAGAAACCCTGATTGTAGCCGGACCCTGAAAATGTATAAAACAGGTAAGATGCAACTAAGAGGAAAGAAAAATGGATAAGAAAATGTCTAAAGAGACTGAAGAAAACATTACCGGATGCTGAGCAAGAAACTGGTCTTCTGGAACTAGGGCTGACTCGTCGAACTTTTGTCTCTTTGGCTCTGGTTCCTCAGGAAGAGGAGGTGGTGCCTCCTCAGGTGGTGGAGGAGGAGCCATCCCAGGCATAGGTGGTGGTTGCATCATCCCCATTGCAGACGGTGGAAGCTGACCATAAGGTCTAGGAATTTGCATAGGAGCAAACTGAGATCCCGGTGGAGGTGGCACATGCATACCAGGCTGTGCCATCATCTGTGGTGGTCGGTTCATCATCATCTGCGGCTGTCCTGGTGGCCCCGGCATCGAGAACTGGTGTTGTTGATGCATAGGTTGCATCATCGGAACACCTAATGGCCTTGGTGCACCGGGGTACTGAGCAGAAGGGGGAGGACGAGGGAGGTTCAGGGCGAGATTAGGAGGGGGTGGCAATGGTCGGACTATTGGGACACCTGGTCGAGGAGGAGGAAGAGCAGCTGGACCAGGGAAGCTATTGGGATCTCCGTAAACGCCATCACCTTGCTCCTCTCCATTAGCGTTCTGAGTCAAGGCTTGGTTTGCTGTGCGACCAATACTTCCTATGTGACCATCCCATATCACTTGCTTGGGCTGCTCATCTTTCTTCTTCTCAATCTCTGCTTTTACAGCATTTGAGACTTCTTCTTCTGTTGTTCCAAAGATATCCGGACGCAGGCGGGCCAACCCGACTATGTTTTTAGCAATCTCATCATCTTGTGCAAGAGTGGTTTCACGAATCTTAGCAAACATCCGATCCTTCTGTTCTTTGAACTTAGGATCAATAAGAGAAATCCTCATGTGCTCAGACATCTCGTTGATGGGAATCAGCTCGCCAGTAATTGGTGATACAACAACTTTAGTTGGATCTCTCTCTGTTGGGATCCTGTCTTCTGGCCTCTTCCAGTTCTTAACAATTCTCATAGGTGCTTCTTCGTCATGTACATTTTCAATCTTAACATTCTCTTCTAGGTTTGCTGCTCTCATTCCTTCTGCAACAAGCTTAACTTCTTCTTCGTCCATTTCCATTTCGACCTCCTTTCCAGGCTCAACAATTTCATCTTCTTCCATCGCTGATGCTTTGCTCCTCCTTATAACCTCGTCAAGTGTCATAGGCGGTGGTAACTCTTCATCTTCCTCGTCCGCAAAATCTATCGACTCAACCACCACAAAATCATGCCAATCAATCATAGCCATCTGCACTCGCTCCAGCTCTTTCTCATCCTCTTCTTTCTTCTTCTGCTGCTCCTGAGAACGATCCCATTCAAGACGATGCAAACAACGCTCAAGAACAGTAGTCAAATCAGCAACACTCTTTCTCAGCTTTTCTTTCAAATCTTTGGGAGGCATTAAAACTTCTGAATACGCATCAACCAGAGAAGTAAAAAAAGTGAACATGCTATGTGTTGGCTTCATAAACTGAAACTGAGGATTGTTGATTTCTCTACTCGTCAATCCCGTTAAAAACGATTTCCCATTCCGTGCCACAAACTGTGCTGTAAGCTTAATAATATCAAGCTCCTCGCCTGTGATCCCTTCAGGAAGTCTAACAGTATACTTCTCAGGCTCCGGAGGTTCTAGAGGCTTAGGAGGAATCCTAAAGTGAGCCTGAAGATCGGGTTGTGCATCACCTGCCTCAGACTCATCAGCAGCAGCAGTATCAAGTTGAAGATCTGTACCATCTGAATCATCAGTACCCTGAGCTCCGTCTTTATTCTGAGCACGGTATTCAGTGAGCTTGTGCTGGTAAAAGGCATGATAAGGATCTGAGCTCTTCAAAAAGTTGAACTTGGCATTCTTTTCATTACTAACAATAATCCTCTTTTCAAACTCCAACCCGTTTTTGGAAACAAACTGAGCCGTTTTCTCAACAATAGTTCTGATATCTGGAGGTGGATGAATAATTCCAATAGTCCTTGTGTGAGTCGCAACAGCCGCCGGAGCTTGATTTGAATTGTTTTGCTCCATCTCTTCGACTTCCTGATCAGTTAATTGCGACGGAGGAAGTGGACCTAACTTCCCGTCGGTAGGAGGAGCCTCCAGTGGCAGTATCTGCATCGAGCTGAACATTTTCTGCAACCAGGAAAAAAAAATCAAAATCACGATAACTTTTAGACCTAATTGATTGGTTAAACTCTCAGCTCTAGAAAGTATAAACTAACAAATCTACTGAAATTGGATGATAAAATCGGAAAACCTTCGATCGGAGAAGGTAGAAATCCTGAAACTAAGAAGCGAGAGAAGGAGATCGACAGAGAAAAAAGGGAATCGGCAAAGCTGAGGGTTTTGGAGAGAGATAAAGAAACACCGTACCTCAGCCGGTAAAGAACAGTTCCGCCGCGAGAACCGCCGTGACGTTGAGAAGAAGCGGAGGACGAACCAGCTGGAGATGTGAAGCCTACTTAGAAATCCATTTAAATAACACCCAAAACTTGTTTCTCCCACGAACCCTAAAATCAGACCTCAAATCGAAATTAAGATTTCAAAACCATACAACAATAAACAAAAGTACCAAACCGAATGAAAGCAGAGAAGCTTACCTTTGAATCCGATAGAAGACTCAAAAAATCGAGACAGAGATCAGAGGAGTGAAGAATCAAGTTGTTGTCTTCGTCTTAGGTTTAGCCGCATTAGAGAGATTTGTTGAGTTGTGTTCTCTATTCTCGTTTACTTAGTAGAGATAAGAGACATTTTCGTTTACTAAGGTCTATTCTCGTTTACTGGGTTTGGGCTAAGGGATATAAACTTTCGGATAACGATCGGTTATCGGTTAATAACCGAACCGAATTACTAACCATGGATATCAAAATCAACATCCATTCGGTTTTCTGCCTATAAATGTAACCGAACCGAACCCGAAATTTCAGTTCGGTTGATTCGGTTCGGATTATAATCCCAGACCTATCGAATTCAGTTGGCTGTTGGGCCTTTAACGGGCCTAATGGTAGAACGCTTTGGATCCGATTTGTAATCGTTTTGTAGTCGACAGTGAAAGAAATGCGGTGTGATTGAGATACATACTGTAGTGTGACAAAAGTTTTCTCCGTTTTTTTTTGCTATCTCTGCAAAGTCTCGCATGATCATGTTTTTTGACTCTAGAGTTAGAGTGCTTTTGAAATAACAGTGTTCCAAACATTTTAACTATTCGTTGATTCAAACGCAAAACTCATTTGCTCTTCTGAGATCGATCCACTTTTGGAAAAGGTCTTTGAAACATCACGAGTTCAAGTCAATTCAACCTATGGAAGATCACCTCAAACCTTTCGTGAACAACCACAAATTTAAGAATATATAGATCATTTGTTGCGTTACATTACAACCATCTAAATTTTCATGATAAGGTACTAAAAAATCTTTTGGTTTTACTTGCTTTTAAGGCCAGCGTCAATCAATTATTCCCTTGTTAAAGAACAAAGAGGTTTGCTAAGGAGGAAAAGGGCAAAGAACAAAAAGCACGAACATGCAAAACTGAGAACTTGTACCAATTTTGTTGTTTTATAACCGAACAACCGAATCTAGAAAGCTTATGCAAAGTGTTATGATTATGAGCACGGAATTCAGAAATCTTAAGCACGGTTCCTCAAGATCTGTTCCAATTTAGCTGCAAAATATTGGAGAGCCATTAATAGGTCCGTATACGCATCAATCAAATCAGTGAAAAATGCAAACATTCTATGAGTTGGCTTCGAAAAGTAAAACCAAGGATTGTTAATCTCTCTACTTGTGATCAATCCCTTGAAGAACGATCTCCCATTACGCGCCCGTGACTGTAATGTGAGAGTGTGAGGTTGATAATATCAAGCTCCTCGTCCGTGATCCGTCACGAAGTCTAAATGTATACTTTTAGAGGAACTCTATCAAAAACATGATCTGAGCAGTGAGCATTTCAAAAACTTAAACTATTAGCATTATGGACGATATTATTTATAATCCTCTTCTCATACTCTACTCTAACCCATGTTTGGAAACAAACTTAGTCGAGACAGTGAGACAAGGAGTCCTGGTCTCTGGAGTTGACAACATCAGCGTAGAACCGAACATTTTCTACAACCAGAGCAGATAACCCACGTTTAAAGCCTACAAGGTTCTCAATGTTTCAACTAACATCTTAACTATTCTAATTGCGTGTGTACCTTCGACAATGATGATCCCATGGAAAACAAGCGAAGCAACATCCTTGTATCGTACCTACAAAGAAGAGAAACAAAACTTCACTAAAGATGCTTAACAACAGTAAGAATGCACAAAGCAAAGTATCAAATATGTTCTTTTAAAATTACAGAGCAAAACGTTGCCCCAAAACCAGCTGCACATCCAAAACACACCTAAGTCAGTAATAGTAGAGATATAATGAGCCAAGAATAAAGAGGTGTGCATAAGAGAGCAGTACATATAGCTTTGGCCACCAATAAAAACCATCTATTAAAGAAGAAGAACTAAGAGATTAAAAAGCATTTCCCTGTGTCCACCAACGGTCTCTATCTCTTTCTCCCACCACGTTCTCTCAAAGACAGTGTAAGGATTTCTCCTGATCCCACGTTGTAATGTGCAAGTGACATGTTGTCCTTTAAGAACCCAGCTTTTCCACTTAACTTCTGTTTGTTTGCTGGAATTTGCATCTCCCCAGCTATTTTCTCCTTCAAACTTCCCACGTTTTCGGATAACGACTGCACTATGATCTCAATGACCTGTCCATCATCCACGTTTGGCTTAGTAACCCTGATTGTAGCCGGACCCTGAAAATGTGTACAACAGGTGAGATTCAACTCAGACGAAAGAAGAAAGATAAAAGATAAGAAAATGAATCAAAAGTCGAAGAAAATATTACCGGATGCTGAGCAAGAAACTGGTCTTCTGGAACAAGGGCTGACTCATCGAACTTTTGTCTCTTTGGCTCTGGCTCCTCAGGAAGAGGCGGTGGGTGCATCATCCCCATTGAAAGCTGTGGAAGCTGACCATAAGGTTGAAGAACTTGAAGATGAGCAAACTGAGATTCCGGTGGAGGCGGCACATGCATAACAGGCTGCATTTGTGGTGGTGGAGGCATCATCATCGAAGGGTGTCCATGTGGCCCAGGCATAGAGAGCTGGTGTTGTTGATACATGGGCTGCATCATTGGAACACCTAATGGCCTTGGTGCACTGAGGTACTGAACAGACGGAGGAGGACGAGGGAGGTTCAAGGCGAGATTAGGAGGTGGTGGCAATGGCTTTAAACTCGATTTCGTCCGTCGGCTTTAGTTTCATTCGTTTGGGCTATGTATTTTATCTTAGTTCCAACAAATTTATCAATAACAAAATCAGTTGAGAAAAAATTGTTCCAACGCTAAAGTATGAGCGTGTATTTCAAAAAGATTAAAGAAAATATGTAGTTATTTTCTACCACAGGAATTTAATGATTGAAATATATAATAAGGCTCGCAAAAAGACTATTGTTTTGTAAGTAAGTGTGACAAGAATTATATTGGCGTAATGGTAACATATATGCCTCCAGCATTTTCGGATTGAACTAAAAAAATTCAAATTTCGAACTCTCGTTTTCAGTTTTCCATTATGTTTTCAACCGAACATGATTGTGTAAGAATAAATGTATCCATTGTTAAAAATTTTATGGATTAATTGTCATATATTCTCTACATTTCACAAAAGTGTCGTTTTAGGATTCGTTTTATATTTTCAATACCTAATTTTGAATAAATACTAATTTTTACCCTATTTCTTTAGTGGATTAATAAGAGATATAGTAAAACTTTTAATAGCTTTTTAAAAGCGTGAAAAAGTGTAGAATGACACTCTTCATAAAAGAGAGAGAGTATCATATAAAAATATATCTTTGAATGACTATATTAACAACAATCTAAGTAAATATAGTTAGTATTTTCTTATCTATGATATAAAATAATGTCATCTAACTCTAATTCACAATAACTGTTGTTTTAAGATATTTTTGTGTAAAGATAATGTTGGTTTAATGTATTTTTACTAAAAATAATAATAATTTCTCTCTTAATAAAACTTAAAATATATATTTTAAAATCATTTATTCAGTAATTTAAATAGTTTTGTAAATAATATTAGTCAATTTTCTATTCTTTTTTATTTGAATGAAAAGGATGACATATTAATCTTCTATACGTAGTTTACCAAAACAGTACACTCTAATATTGAAGAAAAACAAAAAGAATTGCAATTTCGTATATGACACGGACCAATAAAATCCAAGGCTATAAATGACGACGTACAAGTATCGGCCTGCCACGTGGTGTGCTTATAGGCTGTCTTGTTCTTCTTCTCCCGTTTCGACCATTGATCTGTAGGAACCACCCGAGTCAAGCTACGTGGCAAGATCTCAGAGGACCAGCTAGTAGCTACGTTCGAAGTAGATCATGGTCGTTTCTTCTCAAAGCGTATTTTCACTAATCACAAATAAGTGAATCACTGAATCAATGATTGAATTTATTCTTATTTGATTGCAACGACTGAATGATTGATCAATATTTTAAAATTTGTTGCTGAATTTCGTTATTATATATATTGTGAATTTGTGATTGATGGTAATATAGATATAGATAAGATATAATTTTGTTTTTATTGTTGGATTCAGTCTTTAATTTGAAAATGGATACAAAAGTTGATACAAATAGAAAAGATAAAGAATTTGCAAAATATCAAATAAATTCAAAAACTTAATTAGATGATTTTAGATTACTTTTTACAAATCTTAACCTAATAGCACCAAACTTTAACAAACTTTTAAAAAATCTTGATTGAATAACAACAGATTCTACATAACATTTAAAGTCACTAAAACTCTATTTAAATCACAAACCAATAACACCCCCTTAATGATAATTGATTACAGAATTATGTTAACGACCACTTAGAACTGTGTTAGGCCTTGTAACACCATCTGTCAAACAAGTTCTCCCTTAAATCATACCAAAGAGATTTACTAGCAATACAAGCAACATAACACACTAAAAGAGAAACGAGAGGAACAAGTTTACTCGGCAAAGATGATCGCATACGTCCACATGATTCAAAACATATAACCATACTATATCATGCATATATATTTATAAACAGAATATATACTTAACACATAATCTATTAATGTAGCAACTTAAGCATATTATTAAAAAAAAAAAAAACACTTAAGCATATTACAGCTAACCTATCATAATTCTACATGCTACGTGATTCTTATGCAACATCATCATACATCATATATCACTTGCCGAATATACCGTCGATTTAGACATCATTGTTCATGTCGATGGTTTATATATGCATGTCGGCCTTTCTAGCACATTGACTCTCTTAATTAGACCATTCGATCTCTTGTTCTTGATCTGCGCCATAGCTATATCCATCCATGCTGGTAAACCATAGCGCAATTATCAGGGCCGGCTTAATACTATCATAGACCTTACGGCAGAAAATGTTTTGGGTCCTTATAAATTTTGTTAGGTCTTTTACTAAATAAAAAAATATTGTATTATATTTCTAATAAAAATTTAGTCATTAAAAACAAAAGCAATACATAAAAAAAATTTATGACCTTTCTAAATTTTATTTTTGTTTTGTATTAGTTTATTACTAATACTTTTTTAAAAATAGACTTCTTAGTTATTGAAACACGGGATTGGGCCCATGCCATCGCGCGCACCGCCCGCCTCCTATCTCAGCCGGCACCGGCAATTATGCATCATAGTTATCTATGTTTTATTTGTAAGTGTCTTTTAAGGATTTTTCACATATATTAAAAAAAAGCTATTAAAATTTCTATTAATACGCTACTTAATTTTATCTCTCTGATTAATATACTAACATAATATAATTAAATTTGAAGTTTTTGTAAAATTATGTATTGAAAAATAAAAACGATCCATAAAATTTGACACAAAAATAAAAATCCTAAAACAACACTTAATTTGAATAGAGAAAGTATATATATATATATATATATATATATATATATATATATATATATATATATATATATATATATAAAGTTTATTTTTTATAAATAAATAGTTCGCGCGTAAGGTTAGTTATCCATCTTTGGATTTAACCAAAACCAAGTGTGATTCTCAGACTCATTGATCAAAAGTTTACTTATATGGAATTTCTTTATTAATTTTTGAGCCAAGGCTGAATGCTTTGGTGGAAGACTGGAAGTAGTGTTGGAAAGAGTTTTGTGTTTGCGGTACTGTCTAGGTAGCTCCTTTCATTAGTTTGATGATTTGGCTCGAATAATTTGAAAACCACTTGAGTAGTAATTAGTTTCTAGAGGTTGAATGGTTTTGGTGTGTATCTTCGAGTTTGAGACGATTGTATTTGCAAATTTGGAATTGGGTTCACTCGTCCGTATAGGTCTTTTGGAACACGTTTTTTTCTTTTTCTTTTGGAACACTTTTGATTGAGGCTAATTCAGGTGGGTTAATTCTTCTCAAAATAATTAACTTGTCAATGAATTTTTAATACGACATCAATGGTGGAGATATAATCGTTGTTAAGCTAGCTGCTTTCTCCCTTCTAGTATGGTCAGTACAAGATCCATGGTTGGTCTGGTACAATACTGTTGGTAAGATTCACCTTTAACTCGACCAACAAGGTAAATGTTCACATCAATTTTATTTTCAGGTGATGCGAATAAGTAAGAACTCGTTTATCCACCAACCATGATATATAATACAACAAAACTGTATTTATCTACATTGATTTATATATTCATACTATCTTCAATATTTATAAAAATTACGCATGATGTAAAAAAAACTTCAAATTTAGTTTATTGGTATGTAGTATTGTAGTTAGAATTTGCTTACTCTGAGTCTTTGTAGTTAGGGCATGCCAACAATGTAATAAAATATAAATTCATCAACTAGAATAATACATCAAAACTATATTTTTACACGATTTATATATTTGTACCATCTTATTATTTATAAAAATCACACATAAATACCAGAAAATCATCTAATTTAATTTCTTGATAATTAACATTTAATTTTTTTCTTTGTTGTAGTCTTTGATTTCAGGGTATGCCAACAAAATAATAAAACATATATTCATCAACCATACTATTACATCACAATAATATTTATCTACGTTTAGTTTATATATATTTGTAACGTCTTTAATTTTTGAAAATTACGCATGATGATGCATGACAAATATATAATTAAGTTTTTTTGGTATTTATAATTACATTTGGAATCTCTTTATTAGAGTGTTTGTTCGTCGAGTACGAGATATCAACAATGTAATAAAATTATAAAACATATCCATCAAATATAGTAATACAACATAGTAGGGTTCATCTATCAGTAGGATGGATGTTTACATCACTTTGTCTTTAGGAAATGTCAACAAGGTAATAACACATATATTCATCAACCATGATAATATAACAATTATTTATATTTCCGTTAATTTTCTAAATATATTACTTTTTACTATTTATAAAAATCATCGCATAGTGTTTGATAAACATCTAATAATTTTTTGGTATTTAGTGTTGTATTGTACTTAGAACAACTTTACTTATGTTATTCTCTTTAGGAGATGCTAACAAGGTAAGAAACCATATATACACTTACACACATTAATTTTATATACCATGATACTACATCAAAATTATACTTATACACATTAATTTTATATATCTATAACGTATTTACTATTTATAAAAGTCACATATGATATCAGACAAACATCAATTTTTTTTTTGATATTTAACATTGTATCTGAAATATCTTTACAACAATTTCTGTCTTTACAGAATGCCAACAAAGCAATAGAACATTTATCTATGAACCATGATAATACAAAATAATCTATGTAATTTATATATCGGTAACGTCTTTGTTCTTTGTAAGAACACAAATAGTGCCGAACAAAAATCTAATTAAGTTTTTTTTTTGGTATTTCGTATTGTATTTGAAATCTCTTTACTGGAGTCATCGTCTCTACGAGATGCATGTCAACAAGGTAATAAAACATATATCCATCAACTATGACTAGGCCTGGGCATAAAACCCGAAATCCGAAAACCGATCCGAAACCGATCCGAAAAATCCGGTTCCGAATCCGAACCGAATAGTCACAAAACCCGAACGGATAATGAATTCTCCTATCCGAATTATCCGAACC